CGATATTACAAAATTTTTATAATCCTCACTATTTAGTATCAATAAACCCCATTTTTGACGAGCGTTCATTTGATATAAAATTCATTGTCTTCTATTCGCAATCATAGCATTACCCCCCTGGAATAATATTTTTACCCACCTGGTAAAGAGCTATTTTTGCTCCTTGTTTGGTGCATATCTCGGTTAAACATCGTGCCATAAGGCTGAAAATTTGACCATAGCCATGTCTCACCAGCCCCAACATATTCTGAAATTTTCATGTCATTTGAATGTTCCTGGACTGAGATCGATTTTTGAGGGGGGTGGCCTTAACAAGTACAAATATTTGTCTAAAAATATATCGAACGAAATTTTAAAGAATATATTATAATATTATTTAAAAAGTTTGTTAGTACAGTTCCTTTGGAGCTGAAATATGGAACTCACATATATACTTAAACCTTAATATTCTAATGCATTATATGTAAACTGAAAAATTTCGTGTACCTTGTAGTTGTTTGCATTGATAATCAATGATAAGAGCGACACTTTGTTATTTATTTCTACATTTAAAACAAAAATTATTTTTTTTTGTTTAAAAACGTCCTATTTTTCTTTTGCGTTGTTGCTATTCGCTCATTATCTTTCTTTTTTTTTTAATTCGTTTTTCGTAATTCAATATTCTTATTATTTTGAATTAATTGGCAAATAAATCTATTTGACATATCCATGATATCTACAGAAGATCTTATGCACTATTATATATATATTAATCAACTCACAAACAATAATGTTGATTATATTTCAAAATTATAATTTGATCAATTTTTCAAAAAAAAAACTAGAAAGTCTGACGCCTGTTATTCTTAATTGCTAAGGTCTGTAAGGGGAGGGGAGAGCCGCAAAAACTTGAACTTAAAACTTATACTCATTAATTTTTTTCGAAAATATATAATAAATCGTTCGAATTGTTTAACAGTTATTCGAGTAAACTTTTCGTGCTCTTCTTTATTATCAATCATGTTCGATAGAATAGAGCAATACAAGGAGATTTGCTTTCATTCTTTTCGAAATAGTGCTGAGAGTGAATCTATTTCTGTATAAAATTCGCTTGTTTTTTTCTTCTTCTTTGCTTTGTATTATTAAAGTCAATCCATTTAATAACATATAGAATACGTTATAGTTGATTTTTTTTTATTATTGTGATGAATATAATTTCAATAAAAGAAAAAAAACATATTTATTCTATTCATTGATTTAAAAGCTTCTGTTTGAAAAAAAAAATAATATTATGAGAATAAAAAACAGATGTTTTACATGATATAATATCGGATGAGAAAAAGGTAGGCGAATATTCTATATAAAAAAAATCAAAATAAAACGACCATCATTTTTGTGATTTTACAAGAATATAGCCATGTTGAAATCGGTTGTCTGCCTATGTATCTTCGCTTTAATATCAGTCAATGCCGTTCGATTCGAAGTTAGTTATATAATTAATTCAATTAAATCTTAATTTATTTTCTATTAGCTCAATGATAAGGCTCGTGAATATTTAGCTAAAGTTAAATGGGCTGATTTACCACAATCAGTTCGATTATCATTAACTAGTAATTCAGGACGTACTGCTAATGTTGCTTCGTAAGTTATTAAAAAGTTTTTGTTTTTTTCTTTCTGAAATTTGGTTCTTTTTTTTTCTTAAAGACATTGGTGTTGTATTAACGAACAGCCAGTTACAACCGTAACACAAACAAAAGTTGAGCATGCTACACATACTGTAGCTACAAAGACAAAAGTATTATCAGAAAAGATTTTAATAATTAAATAGATTAAATTTTATATAGGTTGGCTATGTGGATTGTGGTTTTATGGGTATGATGAAATGCAGTCACTATGTTACAAATTTCCGGTTTGTTGTTTATATTTTTATTTTATAAATGATATTCGACGATGTTATTTTTATTTTATCCTTTAGACCAGAGATATATACATATATACAAACATTTCAAGTTCCTAATATGGCTGCATGTAATAGTCATGAAGTGAAATGTTGCGCTAACCATATACTGGTATAATTGAAAAAAAAAAAATTTTATTAGCTGTTGTTTTTTTTTTCTTAATATTAATATTTATTTTTAGATTGCTGAAAATTGTCATTCAATGGATAGTTTGGTTGCGAATCAAGACTTATTTCAATTTTTAAGTGGTATTGGTTTGCTTACATTACCTAATGTTGGAAAATAAATGATTGTTTAACCTAAAGAAAAATAAATATGTTGATTCGATTGATGAAAATAATCGAATACGGATTAAAAAAAAAACAAGAAGTGCTTAAAACAAATGTGGGAATAATACATAGTATAATGTTAAACTACTTTTTTGTTTTTATTTTTCTGACTCAGAAAAATCATTTTAATTATAGAAAGATTAATTTATCTGATAATTATGCACAAAGAGAAAAAGTATTGCTCAAATTGAATTCATTCTCCATGAGGATCTTCGTGTAGATCTCGAGTATTTTGATACATGATAAATGGAATCGGTCTAGGTTGTTGATGATACGTATTAATTTAAGTAGGTCAAATCTATACATGTGTGGATCCAAGTTTTTCGGTTCCAGTGGTTAGGACTGATTTCACATATCTACTCAGATGCAACAGTTACTGAATAAACAACATGATTAGCAACTGAAATTAGATGACACATGGACTAAGTCCATGGTGCGAAGCATATTCTCAAACTGTGCTTAATGTTTATGAGGTTATAAAACTTTCAATTTGGTTAAAATGTTAAATTTAGAGGAAAAAAAACATATTTGTATATCGTACAAAGTGAGAACGAAGCACATTTCACAATATACGTAGGTCTGACCAAAAGTTCTAAGAATATTAAATAGTAATGGAAAAATAATGAGATATTTTCAATTTTATTTTATCAAATACTGAGCATAGTTGCCATGATTATTTATGTCCAGGTCAATCCTTTCTAACAATTTATTAAAAGTTTTTTTGACCTCTTTTTCTAAAAAAATTTTAGCTACCTTGGACACCATATGAGCTAATCATGTTTCATTTATTTAATCACTTAAACTATATTCGATAGAATTAGTTAGCCAAAAATTATATAGTATCAGGCCTGGCGAATATGTTTGGTATGACATTATATTGATGTCTTCTTCTGTCATAGAATTAATAACATTAGATGATTATGAAGTAAACGACGATCGTCAAGCAATTTTGTACATTTTGAATCTAATGTCCATTTTTTTTTCCATATTTCATTAACAAAAGGCTTCGGACAATTTTCAATATAATAATTGTGATCTACAGTCTTGACTTTATCTACGCTCAGGTTTATTTGATTTAAAGAATATACTAAACAAAGTTTTGGTTAAAATCTGTTTTCATGAACAACAATCTGTGATAATTCATCTTCAATAAGCCAGTTAGCATTAGAAGACTTATGACTAACTGATATGATCGAACAAAATTCCATTAAATTTTTAAAACAAACGAAATATAATTAGCTCATGTGGTACCAAAGGTAGCTAAAATTTTTTTAGAAAAAGTGGTCAAAAAAACTTTTAATAAATTGTTAGAAAGGATTGACCCGGACATAAATAATCATGGCGACTATGCTCAGTATTTGATAAAATAAAATTGAAAATATCTCATTATTTTTCCATTACTATTTAATATTCTTAGAACTTTTGGTCAGACCTACGTACATCAAAATCAGTTATTAGGAAACAAATCGAGTTTTGTACTAATTGAAAACTAATACATATTGTATCAAAGACCCATGAAAAGATGAGATGGAATAATGCTGTTTTCCTGTCTCCATGGATTTCAAATTTCTGTATCGAAATTGAGTCAAGAATAGTTTCTGTCCTAGTGAACTACTCATTAAATAAGTACTCGTTCTAAAGTCTGAGTTTTATGACATCTATTTTATTTAGATATAAAATTAAATAACAAAAAATATAGACAAACATAATGAATAATTAGGAAAAATAATAAAGATGAGAACTATAACTATCATTTTATCTTTACATTTACAACAAAATAAAAAGGACTAGAAAAAATCTTTATCTTTAAAGAAGAAAATGAAACATTTATTTAAACGATCAAAGAAAAGAATAAAATTTTCATATGAGTAATGATTTCTGTCCTAAAATTCTCTATTCATTGTGTATTTTTGTGGTAATAAATTTTCATGTTTTGAAAGAAATAGAAAAATAAGATGTTGTACAAAGTCTAGAGGTCTGGAATTTTTTACATAATCCTATATATGCTTATACATTATAACAGAATACTTGATCTCAATATTCAGCTTTTAGAAGGGCCGAACGAAAAAAGTTGTAGTATCCTATGCGGATGTGGATTCAATTGTCCACTTAAACGAGACTCACCCTCACATCCACATGACATTTATATTAAATTCAATCGTTTTTCATAATAATCCAACAGCAGTTTATTTTCGTTGTTATGTTGACGACAGTCTATGGAGGAAAAGAAGAACACTGATTGCTAAGTTGTCTATAATGTAATAGCGTAATCACAAAAAAAAAATTCCTTAGGGACTCAGTCGACACTTGACTATGTCTGCAGAGGAGATGAAGATCCTCTGGTGATGTATCTAGAATAGACTCAAAACCTTCTAGAGGATAGTGGTTGAGTCAATTCTAGCTCGTGCTTGTTTACGCTACTACGGTAATGATGCCTTAGATATATTCACGACGAAGGATGTCCAAATTTCTCTCCCTATACTTTATAAACTTTTGATATTATACAGTACGAAATGAACTTTTATAAAATTGATTCATAATAGAATTGAATGTTGCATTGATTTTTTTTATCAGAATCTTAGATATAAAAAGAGATTAGTTCAAATGAACTTGACGATTCCATAGTTCAAAATCATAGTGATAAAGATCGTCATACTAAATTATATAAAATCTTTATAAAAAAAAAAATGAAATTCACATCGAAGAGATCATTTATGATCAGATTTGACCTAGCTTATCGATTTTATTGCATTGATTATTTTAGTAAAAAGTCTCTTATCTCTACTCCAATCAAGTATTTGACAGAATATTCTCAAAATTTGAAGTTTTTATAATGCTCATTCTGTATTATTCAATGAATTTAATCCATTTTCTAACCTATTATGAAAATCGAATGAATGTATCAAATATATCATAATTTATATTATCTTTGTATTGATTTTATAATTGGAAGATTTTTCTACTAATTTTCTTAAAATATATTCAATATTATATTTGTTGATCAAATATCTATTCAACCATATAAAATAAATCATAGTCATATCTTGTTTATCAATCATTTCATTAATTGATCTAAACATTTTCATAATTTCAATAATGATATTATTGAATATATTTCATATAAATTTTATAATCTATATTTTAAACAGCAAAATAATTTCATTTTCTTCGTCAATCGATCATGAAATAATATCATATAATAATTGCAGATCCTTCGAAAAAAAAAATGTCTATTTTTGACTGCAAGATAACATCTTAAAAAAATTAAAAGTCATCTATTCTTGATCAGTTCGATGTTCTCTATCCAGTCATGTATAAATAACTAAAACAACATCTATTCAAATTTTCAAGTAGCGGCACCTTACTTACATTGCATTACCTTCATCGTAGCGCTGTTGTCATCAAAGGTGCATAGTAAAATATGTTTGATTCTCGACGGTTGCGCTCTCTCTCTCTCTCTATTTATTAGTGTGTACCTTTTTTGTCGACTGTGCATGTTCTGTCGTGCCTGACTATTTAACTAGCTTGAAAAAAAGGAGTAGCGGAAAATTGGGATTTTGCATAATTGAGAGTTTTTCAGATCTATTTTTAAACTGTATGATATTCTATTTGAATCGATTGAATTGTATGACATACATATTAAAAACCATCGTACGTATTGGAATTTACGCAGTATATTCATTCAGGTGTCAAAAATAAACATAAAGGCAAAAAAAAACCTGTTTTTTTTTGGTCTTTATGATTGTTTAAGTGAATACCTGAATGAATATACTGCGCAAATTGTAATATATATGATGATTTTTAATATGTATGTCATACAATTCAATCGATTCAAATAGAATATCATAGAGTTTAAAAATAGATCTGAAACACACTCGATTATTCACAAAAAAAAGTAAATTGTGCACAGTTCCTTATTTTGGCCAGATGAATAATCAGGTTCGATAAAGTACGTGCGCAATTTGTATCAAACACATATATCTATAAATACCTAGAGAGTAACCATCAAGAACTACACACATTTTTACTTTTGATCTTTGTTGATTACCGACGATACAATGAAATCCATGCAATTTATTTGCAGTGCACTCGTGATGATCATTATTGGCTTTGTCCAATTCAGTGCTAGTGCACCAACAGACCCAACAAGTAAGTAAGACGTTTGATTTTCGCTATTGTTTGACATTTCAAAAAGTAATTTTTATGAATTTATACGGTAATAGCCATATGATACTGGTCTTAGAAAAAAAGAGAAGCTTGTGAATATTAAAATATCAATGGAGACAAACAATAAAGAGAAAGTTATTTTGTAAGTTTACAAAATAAACTATTCTATATATGTATGTCACTTTAAATGGTATTGAGAGCTACTACTCCCGAATTTTCTTCTTTTTTGATCGTATGAAACTTTGATGATAATCCTTTCTAATCATGGTTATTATCTACAAAAAATTTTGAGTTTGATCGGTCCGTAAGAAATCCATATCGATTTCTGAGATGGTTGGAGAAGCTTAAGCATGGAGAACATCAGAAATCAATTCTATCGATCTGTCAATATTACAGATCTTGACAGTTCATCTTTTTGTTTTGAATAGTCATTTCACAAGTATATTATTCGTATTATACATCGCAATTGACTATCAATAGTCCAACGTATACTCGTTCCGGCGCTTCATCAAATTCAACCTACTACGAGGCAATTCGGGTGTTCATATATACATCGGGCGTTTACACTTTCAAGAGTCAGAGTAATATCGATCTTTATGGTTATCTCTACCAGAACTATTTCGATCCATCCAATTCGTCTTTGAATGTACGTACACGAGATGATGATACCGGTGGCTATAATCAGTTTCAATTCAGTATTTATCTCGAAGCTAATGCTATATACATTTTGGTTGTCACGACGTACAGTCCACTTGTGATGGGAGCGTTCTCGGTTAATGTATCCGGTCCAACTGGTGTTGCTTTCCAGTCCGTGACTACCGCGATAACAACCACAACGACGGGTGAGTAGAACAGCGTTCTAACCGATTTGACCACTATTTATGGCATGAGTTTCCATAAGCTTCTATGCCAAATAATATTTTCAAAGTTTATAATTGATCCTCTCTCCGAGTGCCAAGAATATTATAAAAATTTGATGAGAATAGCTCGAGCAGAATTTTTGACAATCTATTTGTTGTTTCGATTATTTTGACATCGATATATTCTTAACGGAGATTTATCTCTCTATTATCTTGAATTTTCAGCGTAAATCAAGTCTGTATTCATGATCAATATCGAATTTTGAATAGAATGAAATGTCATACATGTTATTAAGATGGAAAATTATCATCTATGCAGAATGCATGTTGACTTAAGTAAGTTCGAAAAATTCTTTTCTTATGAGACTTAGAATTTGCTGTTGATCATGAATATCTGCTTGATTTTGTCTAAGATAGTGGAATAAATGAGACAAGGACAAAGCAGATCTTTGTCTAAATAGATTAATGCTAAAATTTTGTCAATAACAATTAATAGATCTATCAATATTTTGATCATCATTTTCTTCATTCTCTAAAATAATGTCTCACTGTTTATTAGAATACGTCATGCACTAGCTAGCATTGTGTTTGAAATTGATCCTATGTTAATCTGAATCATGAGGGCTATTGTTCTAGTTTGACAAGATATTGAAAACTCTTCAAATATTTTGATATTCAAACAATTCAACTTTGCCCTGACAAATTACTGCTATTTGAAGTTAACAAAAAAAAAATGAAAATTCGATCAAAAAATATTATCGGACTTGCGTTCGATTGTAGAAAATGCATTTTGGACTCGTTTTTTTTTTGTCAGATCAGTTCAATGTTTTCTATTTACTTTTTCCTTCAATATTTGTAGCATCAACATGTTCTTCGTCTGCTATTATTTCATGCTATTTAAGTACATTAACAAACAATAGTTCAACATATAATCGTCCAAACAGTCCAGTATCAAACTACTACTACTACTACAAGACAATTCAGGTGACCATGCCTACTACAGGCTGTTACACTTTCATCAGTAGCAGCAATATCGATCTTTATGGCTGTCTCTATCAGAACAATTTTGAACCATCCAATCCGTCTGGGTATTTACTTGCACAAAATGATGATAGCGGTGGCAATCATCAGTTTCAATTCACAGATAATTTCCAGGCTAATAATACATACATTTTGGTTGTCACGACGTACAGTCCACTTGTGATGGGAGAATTCTCGATTTGTGTAACTGGTCCAGATCGTGTTAGTTTTCCTAGTAATGTGCCAACAATTATCAACACAAACAAGATCTCAAACAAGAAGTGAATATTTCAGAAAGAATCTCTAAAAAAACAAATTGTTATCTTTTCTACTTTTTCAATGTATTTATTCTTTTGACTTTTATTTACAAAATACTTTTACATTATAATAATTATCATTTCTATTTCTTTCTTTATCTATTTCTCTGTCTTTCATCGAACTTGAATTTAGAAAAATACTAAAATGTATTTTAATTTGATAGGTTCAAAATTACCAAAAATAAATTAACACGAAGGAAGAATAGCAACTATACACAGATAGAAAAAAGTGAGGATGAGATTCACAGATTCCTTCGACCGAAATGGAGTCCGCGTGTAGGTCTTCTCCTCAATGTCAACCACACCCATACTCTTCGTTACTCACCTTTTTTGTATCGATTTCGATCAAGAAAATCAAAATAATTGAAAAAAGGATTCACATTCTCCTTACCAAAAAATAATCTACCTTACCTGTCTTTACCAACTGGTTGGGCCCCTTATGACTTCTCGATATCAATTTTTGAATTGAAGCACAAGTATTTTCTCACTTCACTATTTCAGAGTCTTAAGATTCACTCGCTTGATATTTAAAAGAACACTTCATTAATCGCTTGCACAGTCGATTTTCTTATTTTAACAAATCACACATATCACTTTCGATTATCATAAAGAATTTCGTTTTTGTCTTGAGATACACATGCTACAAACATCTGAGATTTTTCTTGCATGGTTTTATCCAAATTTCGAAGAGATACTAGAGACTCAAAGATTTGAATCATCGAACTATGATCTATGAATCATAACCAAGCTCTGTGCATTATTTGGTCATTGATTTTCATATACATTCTATTCAATAGAATAATTATACGTCCTTCAAGCAAAAAATAATTTCACAGATGAATTGCAAATAAAAAGAAAGTTATTGAAATGCAATGAATCAATACGAATTTTTTTCAATAGTTTACACACACTTATATTTTGTCATTCGGTGCACTTGAAGAATCATTTGAATAGGTATTCTAACTCTTTCGCTTATATTTCTCATAATGGAAGAAAAACTATCGTATCTTCGTCTTGAGGGCGTGGGATGTGGATGTGGGTGTGAGTGTGAGTAAAAGAAAGATCTATACCCACACCCACCCTTGTACTGAAAGCCATTCTAATATCAAATCTTCTTTCTCAACGAAGGGAATGCATTCATTGCTTAAGATAAATCGATAAATGATATAATAGAGATTTGCGAAATATAATCTAAAATCAACGATGGATCTTCTAGTTATTTCGAAAGACGATTAATTTGTACAAATCTGTTTGACATGATTATTTTTCGTTGTGAAATCTAAAGATACATTTTTCGAAACATAGATACAATTCGATCTTATATATAGTATTAATAATTGTCGTTCGTTCTGAAGATTGCCGAATTTGTATAAAAAGTTTCATAAGACAACTGAAGAAATTTCTCGAAATACATTCATTTTGTCTTTCAAGTTTCCTACTGCTCCTGAATCATCTTATACAAACATAAATTGAATAATTATCATACTTTTCTTTGATTATTACTCACAGTCGAATAAAGATTTTTATGCAAGACAAGTTTTATGATAGGCGATATGAGTAACTATTTATTTTACATATATATATATATATATACCAGTCATGATCGAAGCAAATCACTTTAACATCTTTCATTCTCTGTTTGAAGAAGGTCAAGTAATACTAATAATATTGGTTAGTATGGCTTCTGAATATCACAATGATCAAACAAAATTGATTAATCTTTCCACTGAAACTAATCAATCAGTATACAAGCAACAATTCACTATTCATTTAGACGAATTGAAGAAATGTATACGAAATGGACAATTTCAACAGGCTATCAACGAAGTGGATGTACTACAACAGATTAATCATAAACTTATTTGCGATTCATCGTAGTCACTTTTTTTTTCCTGATAGTAATAATCAATAATAAACAAGATAAAAACTATATAACTGAACGTGTGTATGCCTGATTCAGTACATTTTCGATATATAATTATGTTATGAATAATAGATTCGGCTCGAATTCTCTTTCTTTCTAGCATTCTTTTTTTTTTGTTCTTGCAATCGTAAATGTGCATGACGTAAAATAGGATGGAATTGACATTTTTTTTTCAACCACGATTACTCAATAAGAGACATATTTCCATTAGTTAATGTCAGGTTTTCACGTACGGCTACTCATTCTGTTTAATTTTACCTGGTCAAATTTGTGACAGATGAACAAAAACATATAACGCGCATTTCAATAAAAAAAAATCTTAAAAATCGTTTATGTACATCTCAATGAACTTCCGAACGTAGTTATCTGCAAGACGACCGACCAAATACATGAAATGCATAAACGTTATCACAATATTTTGGTTTATTTAGCAGGCTCTATTGAGCAATTGAAACGGTTTTTTCGACCCTGAGTCTATTCGCCGAATTTTCGTTTATGAAAAAGATGTCACCGACTTGACTCTGGAAGACACGATAGAAATCTGTAGGAATGAAAAGACGACATTGGATTCCTTTTTTTTCGCTGGATCCATAGAGTACTATAAGCAAGAATGTGATCAATGTTATCAAACAGAACCTGCTTTATGTAATCGATGAATTGAAGATGTTTGATCAACTTCTCGAACAATTGAAAGTTATATCGGCTAAATTTGATGAATACGCCTGTTGTTCAATAGTAAACGACGCATTATATAATAAAGAATTGCGCTTTTATCTCAATCTGACATTGCTCTTCTATATAATTGAAACAAATTCTTCCTTCTTTATTCATACTAGTGCACCTTGAAATCAATCAATGAATATATCGAATGACAATTCTCTTTCGCTTATTCTTCTCTGCAAGTCCGAGTTTGAATTCATCCATTAGTGCTCATTCCAAAAAAAAGAAACTAGATGAAACCAATATAATCAAAGAAAGGCGCTAGTTATCGTCAACATCACTATTTATTTTCATTCTCCTTCGAACTTTTGGAAAAATTATTCGAAATGTTTCATAGAGATGACGTTAAAGCACTGCTCACAATTGTGTTGCTTACAATATTGAATCGCCTAATCATCCGTTATGATGTTCCACTGTTGGGTTGATTTTCATTTTCGGCATTGTAGAACCTTACCGTTTCGTTCAAAATCTCTCATAAAAAGGAAATATCTTTTCTGTTCGTCCTTCAGCTTTTACGCGCGTTTTTTCATCCAAAGCTAAGCTTTTCTAAGATTTGGACCTCATATTCGTAATTAGCATCAAATTTTAGTTTAGAAAGTGTATTTTAATGGAATTCAAGCAAAATAGTTTTTTCACTGTTCCGATGGTCTACCGATGCCCTTGAATTTTCTGTAAAAAAAAATGAAATTGAGATCCTTCAAAAAGTAAGACGTCTACAATGCTCAGAATTTGACACTAATTCTGTATAAGTGACTTTTATTCAGTTTCGTAATGAACCGAGATCATTGCTCATCCGCTTTCGTCTTTTGTACGACAAAATTTGACAGAATTGTAGGCAAAATATTTGAAAAATCGCTTTAAAAATTTCTAAGTTTCATTATATTTCGATTGTTTGATTTTCTGAATGTAGAAAATTATGTTTTAAACCTCAACACGATGCAAATAGGGAAATAAGAAAAAAAAACTTTCTCTTCTATTAGGTAGGGATCACAAGATAGCGATTTCAGGATCTAACATCTTAACTGCATGACATGGAAAACAATGCTCACTTCAGATATTGATTTAGAATGGCTAAGTTCTACATAAACTATTGTATATTGAATCTATCGACAGTGCGAATAGAAAAGCTTTCCAATCACCGTGTATGGAGATCTCTATGTATCGATTCCAATAATACCGAACTTGCTACGTCAACTATGTACCGAAAGTTCGATTTCAAACATCAATACAGCATGATCGACTTGTACAAAATATTGTATCTTCAACTCAACAACGGTATGAATATAAATAAAAAAAGTTTTCTATTGTCATATGTGGAGGCCTCTGTCTATCGATTTGATGAGATAACATCTTAAGTGTACTATGTGACAAAATTCTAACCTCGGATATCGATGCAAAATGGTCAACTTGTATAGATTACTATAGAAAATACATTGACATCGAATCGAAAAACAAAAAAAACTTTTATTATCATAGATGGACACAGCTGTAGATTGATTTTCAGAGAAAGCGGAGTGTGGGTCTGGTTAAAAAGAACGGAGAGACCTACACCCGCCCATACCCATGCTCTCGTATGAATGAAAAAATATTCACTATATTTCTATACAGTGCAAGAGTGATGAATGCTATAAACTATATTGTATAATTTCGAAATGCTTTTATTTGATTGAGAAAATAGCAAAAGTAGTACATCGAAATCATTCTAATTTCTGTCGTGAAATTCTTGAGACAAAATGTATACGTATTGTCCAGCAAGACTGAGTTATAGAAATGTGTTACTGCTCAGATCTCGGAGTGAAAAACATTTAGTTGGCACTGTAAACGTTTATCCGATGCTAACGAAAGCAGAAACCGATTTTTTTTCTCACCTAATACATGAATGAGTCATTCTTATGTAGTCACTGATATAGACACAAGAAAGAGAAACGATAAAAAACAATCTCATATGATCTTATCATCTCAAATATTTACGTTTGATTTCAGACACATGCGTGCTTTATAAAGTAACAACAACAACAACAGAAGAAATATGTTGTTGCTGACGATCATTTTTGTTCTGCTATTTCTAATAATCGTGTATGTTTATCTCAAAAGTGTTTACTTCACCTTACGTGGATCATTACCTGGTATGGCACCACAATTTCTCTTTGGAAATTTATTACAAACTGGTGTCATCTGGCGAGGCGAACCACTGCCTAATGTACTACGACAGTTTCAAGATAAATTCGGTGATGTCTTTCAATTTTGGTTTGGTCCAGCTCGTATGGTTGTTGTGAGTTGTCTCGAAGATGTACAACATATTTTTTCCCATCGACATATATACGAGCAAGCAGACGTATTTGATGAAAAAATGAAGTCTATCGTGCCGAATTCAATCTTTTGTCTCACAGGTTAGACACAAAGTGGTCATCTGCTTGAAGTCATGACATACAAAAACTATTCTATTTAGGATCCAAATATAAGCGTCACACAACTATTACCCATCCATTATTTCGTCGTGGTAAAATTGTCAACCATTTGGATACAATAATAAATTGTACAGATAA